GGGCACAGGCTGCTGCTTGCCCAGGGCAGAGCATCTCCCGCTCGTTGCTGCATGCGGCTCTGGGCAGGACACACAGGAAGGAAGCGGACGGCAGATGCTCAGTCTTGGGAAGCGGGTCTGTAATTGGGTGGTACCCAGCTCACCACCACTTCTTTTTCTTTTTTAAATCTCTTTTTTTTTGAGGCTGATACGTGTCAAGCTCAAAGAACTCTGATATCTTGTGAGGAGAGCAGCCAGAAAGTGTCCACCCATCTCCTGACACTTGCCGCTTGGATAATTCTTGCTCAGATATCTGCCTGCTTATCTAGGCGGTGATAAGAGAGCCTGCAACTCATGTCAGGCAGGCAAGAGCTCTGCAAGCCCGCTCAGCCAGCCGGGACTTCCTGGCCCAGCTCTGCAAAGCCGTGCGGTGGGGGAAGCCCCGTCCGGACCACCAGCGGAAGCAGCTTTGCAGAGGTGACAGAGATGGAGTCAAATCTTGATCCTGATGGGTAATGAAATCCCCGGTAAATATTGATTCAGTGTCAGGGTGAGCAGCTGGGTGCAAAGAGCAATGTCAACTTGGTTATTCAAGTAAAAGGGTATAGGCGACGCTCCTGAGAGTGGGGAATTGCAAGGAGAATTTTTTAAAAAAAAAACCCTTCCCCATTCATTTGTCATATTCTAAGTGCAGACCCTGCTTCAGAGGGCCTGCAACCCCAAGGCATACACCTGCAGGAGCTGACCCTGAATTCGGCGCTGCGCCCACCCGCAGGCCTGTTGCAGACTCCTGTACTGCATGCGGAAAAACTTTGCCCTGGGGCATTTGTGGAGCGGTGCTGCTGCTGCTCTGCATATCCCAGCGGCCGGGCGGCACCAGCAAAGCTCCCGGCCGGTCAGGTCGGAGCGGAGAGCGGGAGCCGGTGGCGACCCCTCCGTGTCGGGATGCAAGCCTGGATCCTCCCAGCCTTCCCCACGGCCGGCAGGAGAGGCCCCGGCTTGGGGACGAGCCCGGTGGCACGACCGCCCTGCTACGAGCTGGTCTGTGCTTGTGGCCCCTCTCTGCCCCCGTGCTGTTTCCCGCTGGGATGTTAGCCCCGCTGCCTGCCAGGCCTTGTCTTTTCCCACTGAGATTAACCCAGCAGAGGGGCGATAGTGGATGTATCTGAAAGAGCCGGGAGGGCCTTGGGAAGGAGCTGGGAACGTTTGCAGCAGGAAACTGCAGCCTGCCTGGCAGAGGCGCGGATCTGATCGGCTCAGGGCGTGAAACGCTGCGGCCACCCAACTTCTCGCTCAGGCGAGCAGGAAAAAACAGCTGCGATGTTTGCTGGCGCAGGGAGGAGGCGAGCAGGCGCTCCCGCGGGACGAGCAGGCGGCGGGAGCGTGGGAAGAGGGGCCGCGGGAAGCGCTGATGCGTGCCCAGGCTGTGTCTCAGCTGAGCCTTCAGAGGCATAATCCTGGGGAAACAGAAAAAAAAAGAGCAAACGGGGCACTTTTCCCAGGAGGAGAGCTCACACCTCGCTCCAGGCAGGCAGGCGGCCGTGGGCTGGCCGAGGTGACATCAGGAAGCCCTGCTGCTGCTGGAGCGAGCGGCGCGGGGCGATAGCCACTATCGCATACAAAC